TAAGGTGCATGCCATCATGACCGGCTATTATTTTAATATTTTTGTAGAGATGCAGGATCTCACTGTCTTCCCCAGGCTGATCTTGAACTCTTGGGGTCAAGCAATCCTCCCACCTCAGCCAGAATTACAGACATGAACCCCTGCACCCAGATCAGATTTTTTTTTTGTAATGGGGGAATTGGAAATAGGGAGGAGGTTGGAAGTTTGTGTGAATTTTTTTTAGTGTTGGAAATTTTGAATATGTAATTTCCAAGGTTCATCATTTGATTTTATTCTTGAATTATGTCACTTAATTCTTTTATACTTTTAGAACTATTGTGTTTATACTTATGATGGTACATAAAAGTCTACTAGGTATTTAGAAATATAGGCAGGAATAGAGGTGGTGCAGTGTGATTAAAGCTCTAAGTTTGGAATTGATCAGCATCACTTCTGAGTGGATGAATCTAGGAAAAGTGTGGTGTAATGAAGCCAAGGAAGCTGAGTTTAAATGTGAATGGCCAACAGTGTCAAATGTTGTAGAATTCTTGAAAAGGATTGGCTAAGAAGAAGTTGTTGAGACAGTAGCAGCCAAAAGATTAGCATTCAGAATATATAATAAGTGCCGTGCTGATAAATGTTTAACCACTGGCTAGTAGGGATGGGCTGTTTAGCTTTTGCAGATTTCCATGCTATAAATATTCCCATCATGAGAAAATGAGAATCTAATAGAAAATGGGCAGTCCACAAAAAAGGAAATACAAATGGGCAATAAACATAAAGATATTCATCTTACTAGTAATGTGTATAAGGGACATACAAATTAAAAAAACAAAATGGCATTTTTATCTATTAGAATTCAAAAATTTTAAATATTTGATAATATTAAATCAGATGAGAACATGAGTAAATATTGATAGTTTCACATCATTGACAGGAGTATATTAGTATGACCATTTTTTAGAGCACCCTGGCAGTAGTTATTAGAATTAGAAATGTGCATGTCCTTTGACCTAGCAGATCATATTCTGATTTCTCCCCTAGAGTAACATTCATACTTGCACACAAGAAGATGTGTATAAAAATATTCACATTGGTATTATTTTTAGTAAAAGTTACAAAATTACATGTCCAATGGTATGATTTGTGGTAGTGCTCAAAAGGGAATTGGTTATGTCCATAATTTTTAAATATATATATTTTTAATGTAATTAACCTGAGTGTTTTATACGTTCAGGGAAAGGAAGGAATTAAGGAACTAAGAGCTAGAGAATGGGCAAGGATGCAGTCCAGAGTATAGGTAGAATTTGATAAAGAAAAAAGAGGGAAATCATCTTATAAAAAATAAGAATAAATACAGTAATTCTATTATATTGGCGAAAAAATTAGCAAGCTATCACCACAAGTCCGGGTGGGAGAGAAGGAACTTGTAAATCATCTTCATAAAAATCAGTAGACTATTTTGCCTAAACGAGATTTAGACAGAAAGAGATATATTTAATAGATTTGAGAATGCATGTGAATTTTTTTTTTTTAATTTATGAAACCTTTCTTGGGTCAGTGACAGAATAACACTATATTCCTTCCAATCTGTGGAAGTCAAATAAATTATACTTAGTTGCATTAAACGTTAGAATTGGATATGGCAACCTTGTCAACACTTTTCTGATGAATGGCTGTTAACTAGAGACGATAATCCCAATAGAAGCCAGAATGGCAAGGTCTAGATCAAACCATGAAGTGGTAATGATATTCAGCCAGCTGATATAGCTGCTGATTAGATTTTTTTTTTCTCCCTATCATCCATACCATTTTTACTACTCTGAAAAGACAGGTCTAACAATCCTGATTTGGTATTCATTTGTCTCCAGATTTTAAATCTATTAAAGTTACACATGGTTGTCTTTTGTTTTGGTTCAGATTGCTTTGGTTTGGGCTTTATGTTTTAAATGTCAACATCTGTCTGGGCATGATGGTGTGCACCTGTAATTCTAGCACTCTTGGAGGCTGAGACACAAGAATCGCTTGAACCCAAGGGTAGAGATTGCAGTGAGCCAAGATCGTGCCACTGCATTCCAGCCTGAGTGACAGAGCAAGACTGTCTCAAATTTAAAAAGCAAAAATAAAAATACAAAATATTGGCCTGGTGTGGTGGCTCACTCCTGTAATCCCAGCACCTTGAGAGACTGAGGTGGGTAGATTACTTGGAGTTAGGAGTACGAGATCAGCTTGACAAACTTGGTGAAACCGTGTCTCTACTAAAAATACAAAAATTAGCCTGGCATGGTGGTACGCACCTATTATCCCAGCTGCTTTTGTAGCTGAAGCAAGAGAATTGCTTGAACCTGGGAGGTGGAGGTTGCAGCGAGCTGAGATCGCGCCATTGCACTCCAGCCTGGGTGACAGAGCAAGACTCTGTCTCAAAAAAAAAAAAAAAGTTAACAATCAAGTCTTGTATGTACTTTTCTAATTTTTTATAAAGCCCAACTTAAACATTATTACTGTGAGATTTTAGCTGGGAAACATGGAATAAAATTTCTTTTTTAGTGTGGTAAAATTTTAATCAGTTAAATTATTTTTAACTTAGAGGTTCTAAAAGCCACTGAAAGTCATTACCACTTTATAGTGTTATCTAGGCTTTTCCATTTTGCCTTCTTTTTTGGGATTAGACAACATGAGCAACTATATTAAAATATACAGGACAAGTACATAAAAACATTTTAGGAATGATGTATGTTGCCTTTTCTCCCAATCTAGTCTTTACAACTTCTGTTAAGATAAGTCTTTTTAAAGTTCACCTTTTAGTATATTCATAATTTCTTCAAAACCTTTAGCAGTTCTCTACCAAGTAAGTTCGTGAGGCTTAGAATTCTAAAAATACAAAATAGTAAAATGAGAGAATGCTATTTCCTGTTTCCATTGCACAGAAGACTATTTTGTTTCAAGCAAATTTAGTTTTGAACAGTACTTCTAAAACTTTTTATTATTTGTATTCTGTCCTCTAAGACCAATAATACAGGAGCAAAGGTTTTAAGTGGAAAATTAGTTTAAAATAAATTTATTTTTGCTGTAGACTGTAAAATGTAGATTAGCAAATACCGAGGTTTTATCTCTTGTTCATGATAGTTCATGAACAGAAACAGTGAAAGGAAGTGCTGCCATGGTAACATAAACCAGACTGTTATTTGAGACCATACTCAAGATGCTTAACTGCCCTGAAACTGCAAGTTTTCAATACCAGTTCTTCCAATTTGCTATTTCAAAGAAATAGCAACTCTACTGTGATCAAAACAATTTGCAGTCCCCTCACAATAGAATTTGAAAAGTAGACTTAAACTAAACAATTTCTCGGAGTGTAATCTCCAGAATACCAAGGTAGAATATGGCTAGCATTATTAATTGTCTTGGTCCGTGTGTGAAAAGTAATGCATGCATATGTTTTCTATATGATACTGAATTGGCTTTGGGGCAAAAGATGTTGTGGGCGCTAACATTTTAATTCTTTTTTTTTCTTGAGACAGAGTTTTATTGTCACCCAGGCTGGCCTCAGCCCCCTGAGTAGCTAAGACTACAGGCGCGCACCACCACACCTGCGCGCCTGTATTTTTGTAGAGACAGAGTTTTGCTATGTTGCTCACGCTGGTCTTGAACTCCTGAGCACAAGCAATCATCTGCTTCAGCTTCCCAAAGTGCTAAGATTACAGACTTGGGCCACCGCACCTGGCCCGGTGCTACCACTTTTTTCCCTGTCATCAAAACACATTTATCATTTGGGGCAGGTGACCGAACATATAGCTAAGTTAAGAAGTTTTATCATTTAGTCCAAAAATACATTTGTAAAACTTGTCTTTCTTGAAAAAAAAAAAAAGAAAATGTCAAATACTTGTTTAGTATAGTTAATGTGATATCTTGCTGCTGAATACCTGATAATCCAGTGCATTTCTTTCTCCTGATAATCCAGTGCATTTCTTTCTTTATGACAGTGTGATATGATACCTGTGGTTTTTCTATTTATATACATTACTAGCATAGTAAAAAACTGCCTTACAGTCAATTGCTATAGCTTTTCACAGACAAAATGTTTTATTCTGTCCAAAATTTATTGTATTCCTTGTTTTTTACCACCTAACTTTTGCCTTTTATTCAGAATTAATTTATTTTTGTTCTTGTTGGTTTTGTTTTTTTTGTTTTTTTTTTTTTCCAAATTCTCTCCTCTGTGGAAAGTAAAAAAAAGAGTAGGAATGTACTACTTCCTTATGTATGCCAGTTTCAGAATGGCCCCTTAATAGTCACCTATTTTGCAGCTGTGTGTCACTTGCATATAAATCAACTTATTTGAATCTCATTACAATTCAGTGAAGTGGCCTGCATTGTTGTTTTACTTTAAGGGTAAAATGTAAATGAGAAGTCTGACTTGCCCAATATCACATAGCCAATCAATAAGAAGTGATCCAGACCTTAGCGTTTGAACAGCATTCTTTCATTTTGCCATTCTGCTATAAAAGTTATGACACAATATTTGGAGAGAAAAGAGCCTCAGTAATAGACTAGTATTACTTTGAAAAAGAGTGTGGGAAATGGAAGGACTCTGGAGAGCATCACATTAAATCTTAATATCAATTGTGATAGCTTATATCATAGAAGATTTCATACACACAAGAAAGAGTGTGAGAATGGGAAACAAGTAAATTTTGTTGTTATCTAAATAATTGGTAACGTAATTGTAAAGGTAATTCAAATTTTAAGACAGAGTTTTTGAAATAGAAAAGGCATAATAGAAAACCAGAAACTAATAACATTTGAACCTCACTAATCATGTGAGTTAGAGGAAGTTTTGTACATCATAGGGTGACTTTTAGTCACTACAGTGCACACATAGCAAGCTCACTTCAACCTTAGTTTCATACTCAAAAGGTACCAGAGATTATTTCTACCCTGCACCCGCACATGTATTAAAAGCATTTAGACACTGTCTATGTATAAAAGTTCCTAGTTAGTAATTCTTGTACATTTTATTCTAGGTTAACGGAAAAGGTTCCTTATGGTGTGTTGATCCGGAATATAAACCCAATCTTATCCAGGCACTGAAGAAGCAACCTTTTTCTTCAGCATCTCCACAGAAGTAAGGATCTTCCGTATAACTGTGGTGATTTATAGGATTTCATTGTGTGAGATGAATAAACTTAAACGTCCAGGGTATTTTGGTTTTATTTTTTTATTATATGAAGAAGTGTTTATGTTTTACTTAGCTTTTTGGGTTGGTTTGTTTTTAAGACAGAATCTTACTCTGTCACCCAGGCTCTGGAGTACAGTAGCAAGATCTCAACTCACTGTAACCTCTGTCTTCCAGGTTCAGGTGATCCTTCTGCCTCAGCCTCCCTAATAGCTGGGACTACAGGCATGCACCACCACTCTCAGCTAATTTTTGTCTTTTTAGTAGAGACAGGGTTTCACCATGTTGGCCTGGCTGGTCTGTAACTCTTGACCTCAAGTGTTCCTCCCACCTTTGCTTCCGAAAGTGCTGGGATTACAAGCATGAGCCACTGTGCTAACATTTTTTTCTTTCTTAAGAAGTATTTATGGATAAGACATTAGCCTAAGGAAGTTTTCCTTAAGGTCTACTTTGTGTTTCTAGAAAACAGGAAATTGGTTGGTTGAGAACATACATTCTGGGAAATATAGTCAATACTGAATATGTATAAGTAAGCCCTAAAGAAAGTTGTAATATGATTTCAGTTACAAACAGGTCAGATTATTTTAATTGTCTGCAATATTAATTTTTTTTTAGTACTTATAATATTTGAAAAGTATGTTCAAGTCTAAAATTATTAAATGTTTGGCAAGTAAAATAATGCTTTAAAGTTTGTTTTTATTTTTTTCTGGTAAATATAATTGTACTATATTTGCTTATAATTTTCTTTGGCTTTGTTTTCAAACCCAGTAACCCCTATTGGTCTTCTAGCTTCCTCATTTTAAGTTAAATCTGAAAATAATATGACCTTCTTAAATCTGGTTTTTGTTTCCTTTTTCTAAAGAAGACTTTAGAGTCTTCTTCAATTTATTATATACCTTCATTTGAGTTGAAAATCCCAGATTTGGTTAAAATACTTTTAAGGGTAGTTTATAATTGCTAACTAATTTTTTGAAAATTTAAAAAAGATTTTTAATAAAGTAATAAATGGAAATGTTGAAACCTATGCAAAAAAGTAGAGAGAAAGTTATAATGAACTCCCACCTGCAACAGTCATCAACATTTTATATAGTGGCCAATTTGAATTCTTAAAGTATTATTAGGTAACTTGTGGAGGAGAGGTTGTAGCTGGAATACAGTAAACAGCTGGGAAGACCAAAGTTGAAATATCAGTAATCTGTTCACTCACTGAGATTTTAAGCATTTGTACTATGTTTGTAGATTAGATGGATCATTATAGAAAGAATAACTGAGTGGTTTATCTTTATGAAATGAAACCTAGAAAAGAAGTTATCAGATTTTATATCCTCATTTGGGAGTTGATATGTTTAATAATTAATGTTGCAGTTAATTAATAGATTTTTTATACTATCATAAATTCCAAAGAGTAGTTTTTCCCAAAAATGTTTTAATTTCTGGATTAAAAAAAGAACTGTTGATGTGTTTCCATGAATATAGAAAATTTAATTTGATATTTATTTATAAAATCAGGAAGATACCTGTTTGCTGTCATTACCAAGTGTTCTTAACCATGTGTTCTGGTAAATGCTTTTATTTCTGTGGTAATACCTATATTAGTATTATATCAAACTTAAGCATCCAATACAAAACCAAATAGTAACTATCATATACTATCTGTTGTCCCAGGCGTTTTTAATGCAGTATTCTTTTTTTCCTTTTTTCTTCTTTTTAAGACAGAGTCTCACTCTGTTGCTCAGGCTGGAGTGCAGTGGCATGATCTCAGCTCACTGCAACTTCTGCCTCCTGGGCTCAAGCTATTCTGCCTCAGCCTCCTGAGTGGCATTACAGGCATGTGCCACCACGCCTGGCTAATTTTTGTATTTTTGGTAGAGATGGTTTTTCACCATGTTGGTCAGGCTGGTCTCGAACTTCTGACCTCATGATCTGCCCACCTCAGCCTCCCAAAGTGCTGGGATTACAGGTGTGAGCCACTGTGCCCAGCCCTTCAATGCATTATTCTTATTTAATTATCACAATAGCCTATGTGGGAGATTTAATTATTTCTATTTTACAGGTGAAAAAACTGAGAGATAATTATTTTGCCTAAAAGCATCAAAATAGTTATGATTTAATTTTGGCTCCTATACTCTTTCTGCTTTGGCAGACTTTCTAAACTCAGTAGTATAGCAAAGAAAACAAGGTAAAAATTGTTTTTTATGGTACAAATTAGCTGTATTTGTGACTAAGTTCTATAAAAAGTGAAAATAGCTGAGCACAAATGGCTCATCCCTGTAATCCCAGTGTTTTAGGAAGCCAAAGTGGGCAGACCAGTTGAGCCCAGGAGTTTGAGACCAGCTTGGACAAACCTCCCACCCTTTTTTTTTTTTTTAACGTTAATAAAAACCCTTCTCTACCAAAAAAGTACAAGAATTAGCCAGACATAGTGGCACATGCTTGTGGTCCCAGCTATTAAGGAGGCTAAGGTGGGAGGATCACCTGAGCCGAGTAAGTCAAGGCTGCAGTGAGCTGAAATCATGCCACTGCACTCCAGCCTGGGTGACAGAGTGAGAACTTGTCAAAAATTAGGGGAAAAAAGTAAACTAATTTTTTAAGCATGTTTGCTTTTTTGTTTTTCAGTGGTTCTTTATCACCTCACTATTTAAGCTCTGTACTCAAGCAGAACCAGGTGCAAACCCTCAAAGGTATGTGTGCATATAGTACAGTCATGTGCCATACAACGTTTTGGTGAACAACGGACTGCATACAATGGTGGTCCCCTAAGATGATAATGGAGCTGAAAAATTTCTATGCGTGGTGACTTGGTAGCTTGTAACATTGTGGCACACGCATTTACTCAGGTTTGTGGTGATGCTGGTGCAAGCAGACTCACTGCGCTGCTAGTCATGTAAAAGTATAGCATGTAGTTATATAGATACATTAATACTTGATAATGGTAATAACTATGTCACTGGTTTATGTAATTACTATACTTTTTACTGTTATTTTCAAGTATGCTCCTTAAACTAATTTTAAAAAATTAACTGTAAAAGAGCGTCACACAGGTCCTTTAGGGGGAGGTATTCCAGAAGAAAGCATTGTTACGATAAGAAGATGACAGCCCTATGTGCGTTATTGTCCCTAAAGATCTTCCAGTAAGCCAAAATGTAGAGGCAGAAGACAGTGATGTTGATGATCTTGACCCTACGTATGCTCAGGATAATGTGTGTATTTGTGTCTTTATTTTTAACTAAAAAGTTTAAATTTTTTTTTTTATTTAAAAATAGAAAAAAGCTTACAGGTTATAAAGAAAATATTTTCGTACAGCTGTATATTGTATTATATGCTGTTACTACAAAAGTTAAAAAGTTTATAAAGTAAAAATGTACAGTAAACTAAGGTTAATTTATTATTGAAGAAAGAAGAATTTTTACATCAAGTATAGCCTAAGTGTACAGTGTTTATAAAGTCTACAGTAGTGTATAGTAATGTCCTAGGCCTCTGCATTCACTCACCACTCACAGTCACTGACTCACTCAGTGCAATTTCCAATCTTTCATGGTAAGTACCCTATACAGGTATACCTGTAATTTATATATATTTATAAGTATTTATATAGTGTTTTTACTATAACCTTTTTTTTTCCTGGCAGTAACTAACAGAACATTTACTGCACCTTTTCTATGTTTATATATGCAAATGCCATTTGTGTTACAGTTGCCTATAATATTCAGGACAGTAACATGCTGTACAGATTTGTAGCTCAGGAGCAATCCTAGGTGTGTAGTAGACTATACCATTTAGGTTTGTGTTAAGTACACTCTATGATGTTCACACAATGACAAAATCACCTAATAGTACATCTCTCAGAACATACCCCATCATTAAACAAAGCATGACTTTATTTTTATTTTATTTATTTGTTTTATTTTTAAGAGATGGTGTCTTGCCATGTTGCCCACACTTGAATGGCAATGTCTTGAATGCCTGGGCTCTAGTGATCTTCCTTCCTCAGCCTTTCAAGTAGGTGGGAATATAGGCACACATGACTGTATTTTAAATCATAAATTCAGATAAAAATTCGGGATATTTTGTTGTTGCTGTTTTAACATTTTTCTATTTTAAAAAATACTATATACTTATTATAGGAGATTTGGGCAATAAAAACATTTATAAAAAGAGAAAGTAGGCCAGGCACAGTGGCTCATACCTGTAATCCCAGCACTTTAGGAGGCTGAGGTGGGCAGATCACCTGAGGTTGGGAGTTCAAGACCAGCCTGACCAATATGAAGAAACCTCATCTCTACTAAAAATACAAAATTAGCCAGGCATGGTGGTACATGCCTGTAATCCCAGCTACTTGGAAGGCTGAGGCAGGAGAATCACTTGAACCTGGGAGGTGGAGGTTGCAGTGAGCCAAGATCGCACCATTGCACTCCAACCTGGACAACAAGAGTGAAAAACTTTGTCTTAAAAGAAAAGAAGTAAAGTCATTTATTTTATTGTTAATATTTTGTCTTATTCTGTTTAGTTTTCTTTTTCTTTTTCTTTTTTGAGACAGGTTCTCAGTCTGTCACCCAGGCTAGAGGCAGTGGCACAGTCATGGCTCACCACAGCCTCAAAATCCTGGGCTCAGGTGATCCTCCCACCTCAACCTCCCAAGTAGCTAGGACCACAGGTGCCATCACACCTGACAAATTTTATTAACATTTTGATATAATTCCTTTGGGGTTTTTTTATGCCATGTATGTGAATAGATACATTTGCATGCACATATGTACATGCACACATACATAAACAAAATACTAGATTCACCCAAATACTAGATTCACACTGTGCATACAGTTTTACTCCCCCTTTCCATTTATTTTTGTGTATTCATCATTGAAAATAGGATTGAATTTTTTAATAATACCATCAGTAGAGTTGTTAACTTTTCATGTCTATCTTAGACTCGAATAGGGGTTGGCAAACTATGGCCCATGGCAATATCTGGCCTGACATCTGTTTTTGGGTATCCCATGAGCTAAGGATGGTTTTATATTTTTAAAATGGTTGGAGAAAACAAAATCAAATAACAAATTTCAAGACAACGAAAATTTGTTGCAATAGCAGTTAAGTAGTTGCAACAGAGACCTACATATTTTATTCTGGGTTTTGCCTCTTAGCATGCAAAACCTAAATATTTACCTTCTGACCCTTTGCTAAAGAAGTTTGTCATCCCTTAAATTAGAATATAGTTCAAAATATTTCTCCTGTAGGCTATTTAATCTGAAGAACTTTAATTTTAAAAGGTAGTAAGTTGACTTTTTAAAAGCATATCAAAATTCTGAATTACTGGGCTTTTCCTTCTCCTAGATTAGTAGTATATTGAAATCAGTTTTTCTAATGTTGTTGCTTTGGAGCTGAGAGACATTTTCATAACTTTAAAAATAGAAAATTTCAGATGAAAACCTTACTGTGTATCAGAAAGATTTCAGCTCTTTGGAACTATACCAAACTGCCTCAGAAGCAGTGTGCTGATATCTTTTAAAATGAAGGAGGAAAAGTATATGAAAAAGTTCTAGAGAATCCTGCAAAGAAGTTAAATGGATAGAGGATCTGTTTCAGATCATGTTTTGTCTTAACATAAGACAAATTTCCATGTTCCTGTTACCTACATCAGCAAATGTGTTTTCTTTTTACATTTAGATATTGGTGAAACTCCTTTATCTTTGTATTGCCTCAATAAAGTCTGACAAATTTATTCTCTAAAGCTCAGTTCGTATACATATTTTGAGAACATTTTCTTTGTGAATTCTAGAGTTTACCTAAAATATCTTTTCTTGCTCTTGTTCTATTCAATCCAAATTCTATTTCTTTCTTTGGGGAACAGATATTTTCACAAGTTTCTCCTGCTAGTCTAAGCTGCATGTTTTTCGTTAGTAGGGCACAGGTACTTCTCCTTCATCTGATGATTTACACATGATTTACATCTCTCTAGTGCTGCCAGCACCTTACCTCCATTCCTATATTCTTAGGCCTGTTCCTCTAGTAATAATTAACTTAGTTGGGGGGTGGTTGGTATTCTAGGTTAAAATGAATGCAGACCTGTCCTGGAATATAATGGAAAATTCTCCATGAGTTTTAAGGGAAAAAAACATAAAACCTCACAAATATTTAAGAAATTTTAAACTTGGTTGTTTTGGGGTCTATTTCTGAGGAAATTTTCTCTTCCCTCTTTATATTATTTCTAGGGAGAAGTTTAAAAAACACCAAGTAGATTAAACATTCATTATAAGTAATACTGTTGAGCTTCCTGCATTGTGCCAGACATTGTAGGTTCCTTGGGATATTCATATTTGAGAGACCCAGGCCCTGCTCTTAGAAAATATATACTTTAGCTGGGCACAGTGGCTCACGCCTGTAATCCCAGCACTTTGGAAAGCCAAGGCTGTTGGATCATATGAGGTTGAGAGTTCGAGACCAGCCTGGCCAACGTGGTGAAACCCGGGAGGTTGCACTGAGCCGAGATTGTGTCATTTCACTCCAGCCTAGACAACAGAATGAGACGCCATCTCAAAAAAAAAAAAGAAAAAGAAAAGAGAGAGAAAAGATATACTTTAATTGAAGAAGATTTTCTAGAATTAAGCAGAGTACACTGTGGGAAAATGTAGTGAATGGCAAATTAAGCTTGGAGGTTGAGCAGAATGGCCTCCTAGAGAAGAAAGTGTGATGCTTGAGCTAGACCCCAAAAGTTAGGGGTGGGTATACTTCTCCTTCAAGAGTACAGGTTTGGTGGAGAACACCTGATTATCAATGATTTGTCAAAGGTACAACCTCAAACTTTGTGGAACAAAAGTTCTCCTTGGCAGAGAGAATCATAACAATAGAGAAAGTTGTCTGGCAGTTGCTAGGAATCTGTCTGGCAAGTTGATATAGACCAGGTAGATGTTGTCATTTGCGTGGGCAAGGCCAATGTAGCAGAATATTAAGAAGAGCTTATTTAGCATAGTAAGGACTTTGAACTTCTTCCTCTGTCTAGAACAATTAGTAAGCTTAACGTCGCTTACTTGATGTTTTGCATATATTATCTAATTTAATCCCTAAAACAACCTTCTGAGGTATTAAAACAACTCTCTGAGGTATTGCTACCCCTCTTTTACACAAATCAAACTGAAGTTTGGGAAGACGAATTAACTTACTCAAGGTCACACAACTAGTAAGTGGTGGAGAAGGATTCAGATTCAGGAATTCTAACTTCAAAACCTGACTCCTACTAGATAAGTGGCACTGGGAGAGCTGCTGAAGAACTTTAAATAGTGAGGTGACATTATCAGTTTTATAAAGATCACTTAGGTATTATCTTTGGGCTCCAATATTAAAACTTATATATTCATCTAACACTTCATAGAATCATCTTTACTGATCATTATATTAGAGCTATAATGTAATCTCTCCCCTTAGACACATAAGACTAAGGGGAGAGATTAGGTTTAGAACTCCAGAAACTGCTATCAGCCAAAATAGGTGCAGCAGTGTGTTTGCTATCTCTTAATCAACTTACAATGACTAATTTTTTTATGTGATACTATCTGTGTGACAGCGTATAATAGAAGGAGACACAGGATTCTCATACTGAGATAGCAAGACAAAAATTTTTTGGTCAGTAGTTTGGTTTGATGTGTATTTAGAGTAAATTCACCTGTTTAAGTATTACTGAGCTGTTCTAGACACCAAGGTACATCAGTGAACAAAGCAGACAAAAATGGAACTCACATTCCAGTTAGTAAATTTTAGTAGTTATACTAAAATACTTGGTATACTACAAACAGATATAAAATTAAGGTAGCTGATTGTGATGATAGGGCAAATGTAAATCTGAGATTTGTGTCTTATTGAAATGAAACTAAACCAGTGGTCCAGACAGCTTAAAGTATTGGTAGTTTATTGAAATTCTTCTGCTTCAAAGAATTACAAGAGACAGCTTCTCCATCTGGATGCTCTGCAAATGTATATATTAGTTTTGATAGAGACAACAAATCCTTTTGTAGTTACTATAGAGTTTGTACCATTTAAATTATTTCTATAGTTCTCATGTCATTCCTTACACAAATAGACTGAGAATCAAATGACAGAAATGTGCTCGTCTTAGAACCTTACTCTCACATGGCTAAAACTGGTGTCTTTTAATTGTTTTCTCAATTATTTTTAATAATTTCCCAACATCAAGGTTAAGGAAGTATAAAACAGGTTTTGTTGTTGTTGATTTTTTGTTTTTTTGAAACAGTGTCACTGTTACCCAGACTGGCGTACAGTGGCACAATCTCAGCTCACTGCAACCTCCACCTCCCGTGTTCAAACGATTCTTCTGCCTCAGCCTCCTGGTAGTTGGGATTAGAGGTGTGCATGACCTCATCCGCTAGTTTTTGTATTTTTAGTAGAGATGGGGGTTCACTATATTGACCAGGCTGGTCTCAAACTCCTGACCTCAAGTGATCCACCCACCTTGGCCTCCCAAAGTGCTGGAATTACAGGCGTGAGGCACCACGCTCAGCCAGATTTGCAGTTTTGACACAGTTTTGTTTGAACCAGATAGGAAATCAGTAGCATGTTTGAAACTACAAAGTTTTGGTTCTTTATGAACCAGGTATGTTAGATAAAGTAGCTAATAGTGTTATTGTTTTTAAAAAACAGAGCCACCTTTAAAATAGCATAAAGTACTTTATCAATGAAAAAATACCATTATGAAGTGTTTTCAAATGTGACAATAAACAAATGAGTCTTCGGTTTAAATTTAATAGCAAAAGTGGCTGAGCACAGTGGTTCATGCCTGTAATCCCCGCACTTTGGGAGGCCGAGATGGATCCCTCGGGAGTTCAAGACCAGCCTGGGCAACATGGTGAAACCCTGTCTCTACAAAAAATATGAAAATTAGCCAAGTGTGGTGGTGCACACCTGTGGTTCCAGCTACAGGAAAGACTGGGGTGGGCAGATCACTTGAATCTGGGAGGTGGAGGTTGCAGTGAGCCATGATTGCACCACCGCATTCCAGCCTGGACAACAGAGTGAGACATTGTCAATAAACAAATAACCAATCAACAAAAATAGATTTGGTACTATAATTAATTGTTCATAAGTTCTACCCAGAGAATTTTTATTGCTTTTGTTCCATGAAGTTCAAGATTGTACCTTGGACAAATCATTGATAATCGGGTGTTCTTGATTATGATGGTGCTTTGGGTCGTTTCTCTATTGCTTATTTTTAATGTTGAAGTTAAACTTTTTTTCAGAGTTAATTGGCAAGGCATTGCAGAAAGCATACTTAAAATTTTAAACAAATAAGATACAGTCACAATCCTTTTGCAGAGAAGTATCTGATTTCAAAGTTAATTTCATGTTGGAGAATTCAAATCAATTTGGCTATAGTAAGTTATAAATAAATCTATTTAAAGAGTATTTTTTCTACCATTTTACTGTTATCGAAGCAGTACTTAATTTTATCACTTTAAAATATTCAGAAATGGTGTTCATGTAGCTTTCTTACCAGTTTTAGGTGTTGTGTTTCAAAAATATGTTCTTACAACATATTTGTTATAAGAAGTCAAGTTAGGCTGGGCGTGGTGGCTCACACCTGTAATCCCAGGTCAGGAGTTCGAGACCAGCCTGATCAACATGGTGCAATGGCTCATGTAATCCCAGCACTTTGGGAGGCCGAGGTTGGCAGATCACATAAAGCCAGGAGTTTGAGACCAGCCTGACTGACTTGGTGATATATATATATATCAATTTAATGCTTTTGTAATTCCATCTCTACCAAAAATATAAAAATTAGCAGGGTGTGGTGGCACACCCCAGTAATCCTAGCTATTCGGGATGCTGAGCACAAGAATTGCTTGAACCCAGGAGATGGAGGTTGCAGTGAGCCAAGAAGACTCCACTGCATTCCAGCCTTGGCTACAGAGCAAGACTCTGTCTCCAAAAATATATATATATTTTTAAACATCAGTTGGCTATAAATATGTGAATTAATATCTAGGTTCTCTATTCTGTTCCATTGGTCTATGTATCTTATTTTTATGCCAGTACCATGCTTTTTTGGCTACTACAACTTTGTAGTATATTTTGAGGTCTGTTAGTATTGTGCCTCCAGTTTTTTTCTTTTTGCTCAAGATTATTTTGCCTATTTGGGGTCTTTTATAATTACATACAACTTTTAGAATTATTTTTATATTTCTGTGAAGGATATCATTGGTATTTTGATAGGAGTTGCATTGAATTTATAAATTGCTTTGGGAGTAGTATTGTCATTTTAACAATATTAATTATTTCTATCCATGAGTATAGGATGTCTATTTGTATTCAGTTTTTTCTAGGTATTTCCATTTTATTTTTTGTAGCTATTGTGAATGAGATTGCTATCTTGATTTTTTCAGCCAGTTTGCTGTTTTGTGTATAGAAATATTACTGATTTTTGTGTATTTATTTTGTGTCTTGCAACTTTACTAAAGTTATCAGTTCTAAGGGTTTTTTGGTAAAGTCTTTAGTTTTTTCTATATATAATATACTTTTGTCTACAAACAGGGACATTTGACTTCCTCTCTTCCAACATGAATGCCTTTTATTTCTTTGTCTTACCTAATAGCTCCGGCTAGGGCTTCCAGTACTATGTTGACTAAGAGTGGTGAGAGTGAGCATCCTTTTCTTGTTTCAGTTCTTAGAGGAAACGCTTTCAGCTTTTCCCCATTCGCTAAGACGTTAGCTATGGATCATGAGGTCACATTTTACTTGGGGAAAAAGAGGTATAGTATTATGTGCTGTTTCATAGCAGCCAACATCTGATTTACTTAAGACTGTTAATGTTATCAATAACACTAGCATTTCCTACCTTAAGAGAGTTTATGGTCTAGTTGGAGAGAAAACAAGTCAGTATCTTCTTGGCTTTATTATCTGCAGTCACTTTTAAATTAGACATTGAAAGTAAATAGGAAATATTTCTGGTAATAAAAATTTCCAGCTTTGAGATATGGATTAGCAATTTTGTATCTGAGTCTTATTTTATATTTCTTTTTGTAAGCTAAAGTTTAGAAACATTTTCTAACTTTTCTAATTATTAATGGTTAATTAATTGAGATTATACCATTTTACTTTTCTTTAGTTATTCAGACTAATATATCACCAAGATGAAGAACTTACAGCAGTATATATAAGTAGATACGAGAATATAATAACTTTACCTGTAGTAGAACCTGCTGATTTTACCCATCTTTTAAAGCCCATTTTTAATGGAGTATCTATTTGACTTCATGAATATTCTGTAAATCTGTAGTTATTGTAGGCTTGTGTATAATCATGACTAAAAACATTACTAATTATTTTTGTTTCTGCATAACTATTCACTTAGCATTTATAGATTTACATGACCTAGATTGACCAATTATATATTTTTGCCTCCTGCAACTGGCATGTAATTAACATAGTACTTCATAACTGCAGATATGCATAGGTAATGATAGTATTCAAGGTAAATGCAAAAAATAAAAAGAGTAATGCTGTACATTCTTAGCTAATTTAGTCTTTTTAAGGGAAACCTTACTGAAATACAGTTCAAGTTTTCATTTTCATTGGGAATAAGGAAGAGAACTTTTATTATTTCTGGTACCTCTATCTCTTTTATACAATACTGTTCACAGAACTGTTCCATGATTTTAAGTGAACAAAATCAGACTTCAGAATAATATATAATATCTTATTTTTGTTTAATGTATGTTTATGCTTTCTTCTTAGTAGAATATACACCAGAATTTTGACACTGGTTATCTTTGGGTGCATGCAAGTGCTTATAATAGCCTCTCTTTTATAAAGAACATTAATATATGTTATGTTTTCCCCTTTTCAGAATCTGATATTGATGCTGCTGCTGCAATGATGCTTTTAAATACTTCTATAGAACAAGGAATTTTAGAATGTAAGCAATCATTTTTTGAAAAAAAATTTTAGTGCCTTTTCAAATTTAACTTAAATTGTAAAATAACTTACAGGCAAAATTACTTCTTTCCAACCAAATTGTATCTTAATCTGAGTAACTCTGTTTCTGTTTTATTGTACTTTCATTAATTTATGTGAGCAATTGAGAGATGGAAGTTAATGCTGTGATTTTTTTTTTTACATTGAGCAAGAAATGAAGAAAAATATAGCATATTTAGAAAATAAGCTTGAAGAGCTAAAAGTAAAAATGAAAACTATAAACAAGAAAATATAGTAAGTAAAGTACATTTTTGAACTTGGACTAGGAAAAGCTTTAATATACAAAATGCAAAATCCATAAAGAAAAAAATGGGTAAATTTAATAAAACATCAAAATTTTAGCCTTCTGGTCAGACATGGTGGCTCATACTTGTAATCCTAGCACTTTGGGGAGGCTGAGGCAGGTGGATCACTTGAGACCAGGAGTTCCAGACCAGCCTGGGCAACATGGCAAGACTCCGTCTCTACAAAAAATATAAAACTTAGCCATATGTGGTGGTACATGCCTGTAGTCCCAGCTACTCGGGCCGCTGAGGTGGGAGAATTGCTTGAACCTGGGAGTCAGAGGTTGCAGTGAGCCATAAGCATGCCACTGCACTCCAACTTGGGTGACAGAGTGAGACTCTGTCTCAAAAACAAATAAATAAAAACAAAAAAATTAGCATTCTGACAACAAAGTGTATCTAAGAAAAGCAACATAAAAGGTTGGAGACATGTTTTCTCCATCTATAACAAAGGATTTCTATCAAGTATATACATAAAAGGATTCTACAAGTAAGAAATAAGAAAACAGTTCAACCAAAAAGTCAGAAAATATATGAGGAGGTAGGTCTTAGAAGAGGAAATGTATGTGGGCAATGCACATGTGAAAAAAGGTACAACTTCTCTAGAAATTGGGGAAACACAAAATGAAACAATATCAAAATAACTTTTTTGTCCATAAAATTATAAAAAATTTAAGTGATTGATAAGTGTTAAGTAGGGAATAAGTTTTGTCATACACTGTTGGGAGTAAATTGATACAACCATTTTGGAGGGCAATTTGAGAATAACAATTACAATTTAAAATGTATGTATCCCTTAGCAATTTTTTATATCTCTTTTTAAAAATTACTTGCATATATTCAAGAAAAGGCATCCAGAAGGATTTGTATTGCAGCATAATTTATACTAATGAAAAATTGGAAACAGCCTTAATATTAACACGGAATTGATTAGCTTAACAGTGGTACATTCATATTGAGGCATTCTTTGTAAGCAATTCAAAATAGATGTTCTATGGAAAAGAGTCAAGACATTGTTAAATGGTTTTTAAATGTTTCAAATTAATGCTTGCAGAATGATACGATCTGGTTAAAAAAGTAAAAAATCTACAAAGCATCATTAATCTAAAACATTTACTCCTCAAGAGTAGTAGAGTAGTTTAAAATGGTCTGTTTTTGCAACCAAATACATTTGACCTATTGATGGAAGTTTTATTTTCCACAGGTGAGAAGCCTCTTCCTATGAAAACAGTATTGCAAAAAAAAAGGAGTTATGGCAATGCATTTCATCATCCCAGTACTGTACGATTACAAGAGAGTGATTCTTTAGCCACCAGCATTGATCCAAAAGAAGATCACAATTACAGTGCAAGTAGCATGGCAGCACAGCGTTGCGCATCCAGGTCTAGCGTTTCTTCCCTGTCTTCTGTGGATGAGGTATATGAATTTATCCCAAAGAGTAGCCATGTGGGAAGTGATGGCAGTGAAGGATTTCACAGTGAAGAAGATACAGATGTTGATTATGAAGATGATCCTCTTGGAGACAGTGGCTATGCATCACAGCCTTGTGCAAAAATCTCTGAAAAAGGGCAGTCGGGCAAAAAGATGCGAAAACAGACATGTCAAGAAATTGATGAGGAGCTCAAAGAGGCAGCTGGATCTCTGCTCCACCTTGCTGGAATACGTACCTGTTTAGGTTCCCTAATAAGTACTGCAAAGACACAAAATCAAAAACAACGGAAAAAATAGAAATACTTAAAGTGTGGCAATACTCTTTGACTTACTTCTCTACAAGGGATATCAAAGCCATAATGGACTTCGTTAATTTTAGGGTAGGGAAGGGATACTAATTACTTATTTCTTTCAAAACATTTTTGGTTTTAAAATTTTTATTAAATAATTGCTGTCAGGATCCTGCCTGATCGGAAATATATGATGTGAAGTCCTAAAAAAGTGTAATTTTTGTGATAAATGTCTCCAAGATTTGGAAATTTTTATATAAGAATATCCCCAGCCTCTGTCTTAAACTTGTAGGACAAAAATTCTTCCTTCTGTTAATATGTCAGAATGTAAGATTTGGCGACTCTATCAATTTTTTTTCATTTTCTTTTCCAATCTGTAACTATAGTTACTGATCCAGCTAAAAATTTTGCTAATGTCTTTTTTATATATTTCTCTCCTGATACACAGTCTGGTAGGATAAGATTGAATTTTTTTAACTTTGTCTTATTTTGTTTTTAATTATTTTTTTGTTATGGTGTGAGCAAAGTCAAACATAAATTGAAAAACATCCTGATATTTAGAAAATTTCTTTTGGTTACATAGGTAGAGAGTACAACAAAGGGTTCTAAGATTTAGAAAAGGGAATTTTGTGGTATTATTTCATCGAAGAACACTCCCAATTTCTATTACTATGGTAGCTTTGAAGTGTTTTTACTTCACAGATACTGCATAGCATTTATTGGGGCCTTTAGTTCTTTCCCAAGGTGCTTTGCAAACATTGTTTAAGTTTTAGCCACTAGCTGCCTTTGTTGAGTATAAGTTATCCAATGAGAGGAGATAACCAATAAAATATGTTATGGAGTACACCCATTTTGACACACTTGTAATAAGAATCTTTCATTTGCCTGCCACATGTACTGCATTCTGAGAATCTTGTAATAGGAATGGAGTGTAATGAAATATTTTGAGTGCTGATTACATATGCCATCATAAATCATGTAGGTCATTTAGGAAAAACTTCTGTCCAAGCTTTGCATGAATTAAATTCATAAGTATACCAATTAAATGTTAACATTTAGTGCAGTTTTACAGACAAAATACTTTGATGATTCATCTAAATTAGATCTTATACAATACACCCTTTTGAGGACACAGTGTAATAACCTATAGTGCCATTGATCCATGATGAAAAGATTTTCTGGTAATATTCCAAAAGTGCTTTGACTAAGTATCCTAACTATTTAAACAGTCTGCTTATATGAGACAGTTTTTCATAGTATCATTTGTATAGTTTGATTAGATTATTTGGAAACAACAGGATGCTAAACTAAACTTATTCATTGTATCTTTTTTTTTTTTTTTTTTTTTTTACTATGGTGGAAGCAACTTTTCAAAAGTTCGGTCTTATGCTGCATCCTAAATCGTAAACAATGATCTTGTTTTCATTATTCTGATAGATTATGTACATATGTACACATACATACACAACATGCACAGTCAAGGTAACAATGTTGACTTGATGCTTTTAGCTGTGTCTGTGATTATGAAGAATTTTTTAAGAGACAAATATTTTACTTTTATTTCAGCAAAACTGTCATGATTTTAAAAACTTTTTTTCAATTGACAAGACTTGAAGTCAGGCTGACAGTATTAATATTCTCTGTTCTGTTTCCATGTTAAATTTAATTTAACCTGGGTAGCCACATTAATGAATTGGTGCTGTCAAAATACAGTAATTTTTAAATTTGTCAATGAAAAATAGCATACAGGCTGAGGTATTTGGGTTTTTTCTTTATATAGGTCACATCTACAGAAAATGGCTAGACCGAGTTAACTTTTATTATAGACAGTGAATAAAACACCGAAAAACCAAAAATGCTTTAACCACAGTAGAAATTATAAAAAGATTACACACATCATTTTAATAACTATTTTTAAGTTATTTACCATAACTTTCTGCATAGACTTTAGGAACAGTGTTTCAATGATCTGGTACCAGTTTATTTTGTTCTGAAATTCTGTATCACAAATGTGCTACCTGGTTTCTATCCATTAGATAATTACTCTTTAGAAGAAAAGGAAAGTGATCTAAGAGAAGCAGAGTTAGTTGCGGCTCTACTAGGGATCTTCAAAGTTATTTTGTCTTGATGTATGTAACAAGACATCATATTTTATCTTGATGTATGTAACAAGACATCATATTTTGTCTTGATGTATGTAACAGTAATTCTTTACATCTTTTGATTTTTCTCTTCCTTTTTATGCACTCTTCCCACAAATTTAAATGTTTAAGTTATATTCATCACTAGCAAGGATGATAAACATTTGTGCACTGAAAGCTAACAGGGAGAAGTTACACAATATTTTATAGTTTCTTAAACATAATTTAGGGTATCACCTTCCACTTGCTAATATACCAAGTCAGTTGTTTTCAAGGGGGAGAGCCTTTTAAATTATGGTCCTCCAATTACTCCTTCCATTGAGATTATGCTTATTCCTCAGGTGTTTTGAGAAACATGGCTAATAACCACACAATTAAGTAGAGTCATTCCAAGTCCTATGGACTGGAAATTATATTCCCAATAATATGCAAATTTTCCTGTAATAAAAACAACTTGGAAACTCCAAGGAATTTCACGTTTTCCAACATATCCTAAAACTGTGATTTAAGCTAACATATGATTTGCCTTACGTCAAAACAATACAATTTTTTGTTACAACTGATTCCAGTAGATCCCTAGTAAAAAGCTTTGATTCAGCACAATTGTTCATCTTTCACATCCCAAATAGAATCAGTGTTTCTTGAATATATATTTTTGAAGGTTTTTTGTGCAATATATTACTAAATCAGTTATTTTACTTTTCAAATTCAGAGAAAGAAAACAGATTACCTGAATTCATGGAAAAAGTGGATCACCTCCCTTTTTCCACCTTCAAGCCTTTCCTGTCCTCATAGCCAGCATGACTTCTTTTAACTTGAATTCCTTTGTATATAGTATAGCTAGGTATATATATTTTTTCTTTTGCTACTTTCTGAGGCATTATGTAAAGAGTTCATACTAGATGTTCAGTTCAATATACTTTAGCACAAAGTCAAACTAGAGTATGTGTTAAAGAGGGAATGTATGTGTCTTGGTAGACCAGGAGGCCTTTCCCAGCAATTTAAGCAAAAGATGTGAATACTTCACAAAGCTGTAAAGACCATTGTCTTAAATACTACAACATCTTGATACCCTTTTGTGAACACCATAGCATTTATTTAAGAAACTTTGAGGCTTTCTGGTTTACATACATCTTATAGGTTTTAGTTTGAAATGTGTTAGCTTTGATTTAAACCAAGTTTACTTCAGTATGTTAATGATGTAGTAAAAATATTTATTGAAAAGCAAATTGGAGTATTTTAATATTATACCTGCCATTTTTTTCTTAAAGCATATTCTTTGCATCTAACTGCCAGTGCCATTGTCAAAACTTATTTTTTAAATTGTTGTATATTTCTTATTAAACTAAGTGCTTAATTTTAAAGTATTATGTTGCCATCATATAGTGTATAAAAATGTATAATTGCCAATTCATTGTAACTATTATTTATTTTTAAATGAAAGTGTAAGAATGCTTTCTGATTCAACAAATTTATCAAACTGTTTTCTTATTCTTTTTTCTGATGTCGCATAAAAATTGTCCCAGTTTGAGTTACAACTGCCAGTAGATGACCAGTCACAAGTGAGCCACTTCTCAGTTGCCAGTCTTTGCTCATATTAAAAACAACTTACAAATGCTTAGTTTTTTGTATCTAATCTCTGGTTATTAAGATGTTTATAAAGTTTATTTTTACCAAAGAGAAGCAATCCATTATGACAAAGTATTGCATAATAAACTTTGTTTTATAACATTTTCGTGCTTTATCTGATCTTTTGTAGGACAGAGTGGAGACAGGGGCAGGGTGGTAGGGCAGATGTGGTGGCTCACACGCATTTTCCATACAAAGTTGGAGTCAGGGAAATGAAAAAATAGTTTCATTTCAAAAATTTTTTAAAGTACCATTTTTTGTGATTTTTTAGATGTTATCTTTATTGAAAGCTTAAACAACATTATTGTCTTCCTAAACTTCTTTTCCTGTTAATTTACATATATTTGAAATATAACTGGGAAAAATGGAGTAGAATGTGAAACCAGCCTGGCCAACATGATGAAACCCTGTCTCTACTAAAAACACAAAAATTGGTTGAGCACGGTGGCTCATGCCTGTAATCTCAACACTTTGGGAGGCCAAGGTGGGCGGATCACCTAAGGTTGGGAGTTCAAGACCAACCTGACCAATATGGAGAAACCCCTTCTCTACTAAAACTACAAAAAATTAGCTGGGCATGGTGGCACATGCCTGTAATCCCAGCTACTTGGGAGGCTGGGGCAAGAGAATAGCTTGAACCCAGGAGGCGGAGGTTCCGGTGAACCGAGATTATGCCATTGTACTCTAGCCTGGGCAACAAGAGTGAAACTTTGTCTCAAAAAAAAAACAAAACAAAATACAAAGTTAGCCAGGTACAGTGGTGAACACCTGTAATCCCAGCTACTCAGGAGGCCGAGGTATGAGAATTGCTTGAAACTGGGAGGTGGAGGGTGCTGTGAGCCGAGATCCCACCACCACACTCCAGCCTACATGACAGAGTAAGACCATCTCAAAAACAAAAAAAGAATGTCATCAAGAGCTTTATGCCAATAAATTCAACAACTTCGGTGAATTAAAATGCAACAACAAGAAAATCCTAACTAAAAATGGGCAAAATACCTGAACAGACACCTCACCAGAAAAGATAAAACAAATCACACTCATTGATATTTATGCAAATGGGTTGAAAACATGTCTAACAGAAACCTGCACACAATTGTTATAGCAGCTTTGTTCATAATTGCCAAAACTTGCAAGCAAATAAGATGTTCTTCAGTAAGCAAATGTATAAACTGTGGTACCTCCAGACAACAGACTATTATTATACAGCAATTTTTTAAAAAGCTATCGACACATCTCCAAGAAGATACACACGTGGCCAAAAAGAACATGAAAAGATACTTGACATCACTAATTACTAGGGAAATGCAAATAAAAATAACAATGAGCAGTGTTCTGCCTCCTTCCGGACGAGCAAGAAGACTTGTGCTCTGGTTCTCGGACTTCCCCAGCAGCATGGCTCCCAAACGCCAGTCTCCACTCCCGCCTCAAAAGAAGAAACCAAGACCACCTCCTGCTCAGGGACTGGATGAGACATCGGCCTCTGCAGGCTTGCCGAAGAAGGGAGAAAAAGAACAGCAAGAAGCAATTGAACACATTGATGAAGTACAAAATGAAATAGACAGACTTAATGAACAAGCCAGTGAGGAGATTTTGAAAGTAGAACAGAAATATAACAAACTCTGCCAACCATTTTTTCAGAAGAGGTCAGAATTGATCGCCAAAATCCCAAATTTTTGGGTAACAACATTTGTCAACCATCCACAAGTATCTGCACTGCTTGGGGAGGACGACGAAGAGGCACTGCATTATTTGACCAGAGTTGAAGTGACAGAATTTGAAGATATTAAATCAGGTTACAGAATAGATTTTTATTTTGATGAAAATTCTTACTTTGAAAATAAAGTTCTCTCCAAAGAATTTCATCTGAATGAGAGTGGTGATCCATCTTCAAAGTCCACTGAAATCAAATGGAAATCTGGAAAGGATTTGACGAAACGTTCAAGTCAAACGCAGAATAAAGCCAGCAGGAAGAGGCAGTATGAGGAACCAGAGAGCTTCTTTACCTGGTTTACTGACCATTCTGATGCAGGTGCTGATGAATTAGGAGAGGTCATCAAAGATGATATTTGGCCAAACCCATTACAATACTACTTGGTTCCTGATATGGATGATGAAGAAGGAGAAGGAGAAGAAGATGATGATGAAGAGGAGGAAGGATTAGAAGACATTGATGAAGAAGGGGATGAGGATGAAGGTGAAGAAGATGAAGATGATGATGAAGGGGAGGAAGGAGAGGAGGATGAAGGAGAAGATGACTAATAGAACACTGATGGATTCCAACCTTCCTTTTTTTAAATTTTCTCCAGTCCCTGGGAGCAAGTTGCAGTCTTTTTTTTTTTTTTTTTCCTTCCCTCTTGTGCTCAGTCACCCTGTTTTTGAGGTCTCTTTTCTCTACACCATGGTTCTCAACTTATTTTGGGGGGAAATATCTTGAGCAGGATACAATGGGAAAAGAGTCTCTACCCCTTTCTGTTTGAAATTCATTTTTATCCCTTCCTGTCTTAACAAAAACTGTATGGAATCAATACCACCGAGCTCTGTGGGAAAAAAGAAAAACCTGCTCCCTTCGCTCTGCTGGAAGCTGGAGGGTGCTAGGCCCCTGTGTAGTAGTGCATAGAATTCTAGCTTTTTTCCTCCTTTCTCTGTATATTGGGCTCAGAGAGTACACTGTATCTCTATGTGAATATGGACAGTTAGCATTTACCAACATGTATCTGTCTACTTTCTCTTGTTTAAAAAAAAGAAAAAAAAAAACTTAAAAAAATGGGGTTATAGAAGGTCAGCAAAGGGTGGGTTTGAGATGTTTGGGTGGGGTAAGTGGGCATTTTGACAACATGGCTTCTCCTTTGGCATGTTTAATTGTGACATTTGACAGACATCCTTGCAGTTTAAGATGACACTTTTAAAATAAATTCTCTCCTAATGATGACTTGAGCCCTGCCACTCAATGGGAGAATCAGCAGAACCTGTAGGATCTTATTTGGAATTGACATTCTCTATTGTAATTTGTTCCTGTTTATTTTTAAATTTTCTTTTTGTTTCACTGGAAAGGAAAGATGATGCTCAGTTTTAAACGTTAAAAGTGTACAAGTTGCTTTGTTAAAATAAAACTAAATGTGTACACAAAGAAAAAAAAAACAATGAGATACCACGTCATATCCATTAGAATGGCTACTATTAAAAGGTTAAAAAAAAAAAAAAACCACCAAAACTAAATGACAAGTGTTGGCAAGGATTAGAACACTTGTACAGCCACTGTGGAAAGCAGTATGTAATTCAAAATAGTCCAGTCACTGTGAAAAGCAGTATGGAACTTCCCCAAGAAATTAAAAGTAGACCGGCAATTCCACTTCTGGGTACATACCCAAAAGAATTGAAAGGTTCTCAGGCCAGGCACAGTGGCTCACACCTGTAATTCCAGCACTTTGGGAGGCCGAGGCAGGCAGATCACAAGGTCAGGAGTTCAAGACCAGCCTGGCCAACACAGTGAAACCCTGTTTTGACTAAAAATGCAAAAATTAGCTGGATGTGGTTGTGGGTGTTTGTAATCAGCTACTTGGGAGGCTGAGGCAGGAGAACCACTTCAATCCAGGAGGTGGAGATTACAGTGAGCCGAGATCACGCCACTGCACTCAAGCCTGGGTGACAGAGCTAGACTTCGTCTCAAAAAAAAAAAAAAAAAAAATTCTCAAAGAGATATTTGTTTACCCATGCTTAGCCAAAAGACAGAAGCAACACAAATATTCATTGATAGATTAATGAATAAAATATGGTACCTACATACAATGGATTCTTTCTTTTTTTTTTTTTTTGAGACGGAGTCTCACTCTTGTTGCCCAGGCTGGAGTACAATGGTGTGATCTTGGCTTACCACAACCTCCGCCTCTTGGGTTCAAGCGATTCTCCTGCCTCAACCTCCCAAGTAGCTGGGATTACAGGCATGCACCACCACGCCTGTCCAATTTTTGTATTTTTAGTAGACAGGGTTTCTCCATGTTGGTCAGATTGATTTTGAACTCTTCACCTCAGGTGATATGCCTGCCTCGGCCTCCCAAAGTGCTGGGATTACAGGCGTGAGTCAGTGTGCCCAGCCTATAGAATAGATTATTATTTCAACTCAAAAGAGAAGGGACTTTTGACACAAGCTACAACATGGATGAAACTTGAAGATATTATTATAAGTGAAATAAGCCAGTCAGAAAAAGAAAAATACTATATGGTACCTACATAGTCAAACTGATAGAGACAGAAAGTAGAAAGATGTTTGCCAGGGACTGGAGGAAGAGGGGAATGGGGAGTTGTTTAATGGGCCTGGAATTTGAGTTTTGCAAAATGAAAGGGTTCTAGAGATTGCACAACAGTGTGAATGTGCTTAACACTACTAAAGTGTAGACACAAAAATAGATTAGCAAATGTTATGTACATTTTACCACAATTAAAAAAATGAAAAAATGAGATATCGAACTATGATGGAAATTTAAACACATATTACTAAGTGAAAGAAGCCTATCTTTGACTTAGTTAAAAGGTTCACTTACTGAGCCTTACAAGGCTCACTTCTATGATTCCAACTACATTCTTATGTCGCTTAGCAACAGGAATACCTTCTGAGAAAAGTACCAGGCAATTTTCTTATTGTGGGAACATCATAGGGTATACTTACAGAAACTTAGATGATATGACCTACTACATAACTAGACTATATGATATATAGCCTAGAGCTCATAGGCCACAAACCTATGCAACATGTTACTGTCCCAAATACTGTAGACAATGGTGACACAATGGTATTTATGTATCTGAAGACAGAAAAGGTACAGTAAAGCCGTATAAAAGAACCCGGGAGGCAGAGGTTGCAGTGAGCTGATCGTGCCACAGCACTTAGCCTGGGCGATAGAGACTCCATCTACACACACACACACACACACACACACACACACACACGCAAGCACACAAAATATATATGTATAAATAGTTTGTTATTTAATCCTCACATTGACACTATGAAGTTAATGAGGTAAATGTTACCATTTATAGATGAAGAAACACAGACTTGAGGAGTTTAAATTGCCCACGGTTACACTAGTTAGTAAATGATTAAAAAAACAAGTCTGATTCTAGATTTTGTGCCTTAATTACCAGGCTTTACCACCTCTGGGTTATAGGAATATATATACAAGCACAAGAACATATTTGACCATTGATTCATTTGCTAAACAAATCAGCATGAAGTACTTTTTTTTTGAGACGGGGTGGCCCTCTGTCACCCAGGCTGGAGTGCAATGATGCCAGGATGGCTCACTGCAATCTCCGCCTCCCACATTCAAGCAATTCTGCTTCAGTCTCCTAAGTAGCTGAGACTACAGGCACAAAACCACCACCCAGGCTAATTTTTTTGTCGTTGTTGTATAAACAGGGTTTCTCCATGTTGGCTAGGCTGGTCTCAAACTCCTAGCCTCAAGTGATCCACCTGCCTTGGCCTCCCAAAACACTGGGATTATAGGTGTGAGCCACTGCACCCAGCCATAACATGAAGCACTTATTAAATCCCCACCACTCTACTGGGCCTTGGCAGTTGGTAGTGAACAAAAGTTTCTGCCCTCAGGGAGCTTGTATTCTTATGGGAGGAGAATAGACAAAATAAGAAATTGAAATAAAATAACAGAAGTGATAAATGCTATGAAGAAAAGATGACGAAGAGGAAGTAAAACCAGGGTGACAGTTGCTATTTTAGATAAGTTGGGCATCTGAGCTGAGCAGGGATGGAATGATGTGCAGGAGCCCATTTGCAGGTATCTAGAGGAGGAGCCTCTGGGCAGGAACCAGGGAAGGTCAAGGAAGAACAGCCCTTTGATGTGTTTACAGGAACTGCAAGAATAATAGCTACTGTACCTGGAGGAAGCTGTGCAAAGGAAAGACTGGTAGGAGATGATGACATTCAGGTTCCAGGGACCATGTCACGTGTGGAGCTCTGCAGGTACCATGGTAAGAACTAGAATCCAAGATCAGGGGAGTGAGGGAACCAAATGTACATTTCAAAGAGCCACTATTGTGTCCTGACACTTGAAGATTGCCCCTAGCAAATCTTAAATACAAATTCTTAGTCAAATATCTTCTGAGAAAACAGTATATGCTATGCACTATAACCTGTTATAGTTACCCTTCAAGCCAAAATAACTTCTAAACCACGAAACGTATAATCCAGGGAGTTAAGAAAGAGTTGTTTCTCTAAACTGGTATCCATATTACTGTACCTTATTTAATTATTTACTTTTTTTTTAAGAGACCGGGTCTTGCTTTGTCGCCCAGGCTGGAGCTCAGCGGCAAGATCACAGCTCACTGTAACCTCAAACTCATAAGCTCATGTGATTCTCCCACCTCTGTCTCCTGAGTAGTTATGCCTACAGTCAGGCATCACCATGTCCTGCTAATTTCTTTTTTATTTTATGTTTTATTTTGTAGAAATGGGATCTCACTGTATTGCCCATGCCGGTCTTGAACTCCTAGCCTCAAGTACTCCTCCCTCCCTGGTCTCCCGAAGATTACTGTACCTTATTAACAAATGGTTTTATATGATAAAATCTTACTGATTCTCATTTGTATAAAGATCAGCCTACATTATTGAAAAGTATATTGAAATAGATACTACTTTTACTTATAATTGGAACTAAAGCATCTGTTTTTTAGGACATTAAGGGAATAGAGAGGAGTAACTTTATAATTAGCCTATCCAATAGTTTTCTTAAGTAATTCAAGCATTTTCTTAAGGTCTTGCTTACAGTATTGAATCTCTTAAGTAGAGTAAAAGTAAGAAGCTGAATCTTAATCAAATTATAGTACTAGCAATTCTACCACATCATTTGACTCCAACACTTACTAATCCTTCAAGTAACTGCCAGCTAGCACACACTTTAAGAACTCAGATGTTTTCGTATCTTTCTAGTCAAATGAACAACAAGCATGTCAGTAGGAAAACTTCCCCTCACATCATATTGATTTAATTTAAAGGACTACCACCCACTTTCTGCCTTCACTTGCACACCAATCTGAATTCTTAAAGGAAATTATATATAAATTGTTTTTTTCTTGAATGAAAGTATTTGAGTATAATTCTGTGTTTCCTTGCAATTTGATTCTGTGTAAATACTATCTTTCCCTTCTTTTAAATGAATTTTCCCCAGGAAATGTACGGTCAGCTTTAATTCACTTTAAGAACAATTGTTGATTATTCAAAAGAGAAATGACAATGTTTAAATACTTTGAGCCAGCTGTTGTAAGAGGCAATGGTGTACTTATATATTTCAACTGACATACTACTACTTATACATTACAACTGACAACTGCACACTGCAGGCTCTTTATCAGTGGGGGTAAAAGCATGGCCATATATAATTCATTAGTACCCTCTCTCTCTCTCTCTCCTCTCTTTCTCTCTCTCTCTAATTGCTTTCTAGTAGAATTGCAGAAAGGAATTCTCACTCTCTTCTGTTTCCCTTGGAGGTTTGCTTTTGTTACAACTCAACTATCAGCTTTATATAGAGTTGCAGCTTTTGAAATAGAGCATTAATTGGAAGCAATTATTCAATTATAGCAGTTGTGGCTATACTGCATACTGAATATTTACCAAGAAAAGAAAGCATTTAACAGATGATTTAATATAGCAGCTTGACAATAATGAACCTGCGACCAACACTACAATTGCATAGCCCATATCTTTGATGGCTGACATATTCAAGAGTACATAATATAAATTTTAAAATGAAATAAAGACTCTCAGGCTTGATTTTCAAAGCACTGCAAAATGTGTGAAGTCAATTCAAAAGTAATCAAAGAACTTATGTTTGTTTATTATCTAAAAATGTGTGAGATTTCGCCAACTGCTTGATTTTAAAAGTAGGTATGTTTTCAACGTTAATCGATTTTAATGTT